AGTAATGTGGCATGATGAAATTGCATTTCTTTGTTGTTTCCTAACATCCGGAGCCATTCTCATATGTTTCTACTCTTTGTCTGTGCGTGCACAGTTTGCATGCCTGATTTATTATAAAGTTGAAATCCCGGGCTTTTATGTGATATTACTTTTTTCTTTTAATCACTCCCATTTCCAGTCTTATTCATAGTATTATGCCCCTCTGTTTTAGCTGGAATTCATCCTGTGATTAATGGGGGGGGGGGTTCATGAATGAAAGAGCCAGAGGAGATGGTGTCACCTCTCTATCATCTTAAGAAATGTACAGACACACATTTCCTGTTCAACACACTACTGAACTTCCAGTGTTGCTATTGTTTGGTGATAAGATATATGAAGCATCAGCTAAATGTTTGCATCACCTTTTATGATGATGTCCATCAGGTGTCAGTGACTTATTTCGTAGAATGCAGCATAATGTGGCCTTTTCAGAAAGTTCTTAATCTTTCCTTAATAAAGATTGCCTTAATAAAAAGTTTTAAAAAGAAAGAAAAATAAAGTTTAAATAGACTCATACTGTATGTTAAGCAGTTGGGCTGAATTCATTACAGAACTATAATACTTAGGGTCAGGGTTTGAGCTATATAGCTCTGTCTTGCAAACACTGTAATTAAATTCATATGCATGCATACTTCATATTCATCACCAGATGGGCATTTATTTAATCATTAAGATTAAAAAAAATGTTCTTCCTTCTTTCCCTTAAAATTCCTGTAAAGATTACATCCATTAAGAAAATATGCAGACATGTTTGACATTAGGAAATCACTTCAATAGAAGAGATTATCACTGTCCGCAGCCCATTTACTTGACCCCCTGATGCAGCTTTTATTGCTCAACTTCCTTTACAAAGGCTAGATAAAGACATATTCCATTAGAATAGTTGATTTAAATTTTAAAATATAATTTAAGGTTAATTAATTGAACAAAATTAGGTTTATTAAAATAAAAAAATCATGTTTGGATAGGTCAACTGTCCAATGCTACTGATGAGATGGATTTGTACTTGCATTTTAAAGTCTTGAGCACCATCTCCTGGACATTGGAGTTAATATTTACTCATGCTTGGCCTTATCACATCACAGTGGGTCAGCTAAACCACATGTTGACTTTACAGATTAGTTTTAGATCTGTTTCCATATCTATCTGCTATAAATACAAAATAACATCTAAAAAAAAAAAGCAAGCAGTTGAACAGATTTTTTTTAAAGGGGTCATAAAGGGGACGTTGCTAAAAAGAACATTGTTGTGTATGTGGTGTAATGCAATGTGTTTATGCGGGTTAAAAAAACATTTTTTCACATACTGTACATTATTGTTTCTCCTCTATGCCCCGCCTTTCTGAAACGCGTTGATTTTTACAAAGCTCAGCTGTCTGAAAAGCGAGGTGTCCTCTGATTGGCCAGCTATCCAGTGCGTTGTGATTTGCTGAATACCTCAAGCGTGTGACGGAAATGTTACGCCCCTCACCATCCTGAGATGCCGTGTCCCGGTGTAGTGCCGAAATTTGCACCCTGCCAGATTATGCACCCTCTAGTATTGGTAGGTTTAGGAGTAGGTGTGGAGGAGGGGTTAGGATTAGGGTTGGGTTGGGATTAGGCAATCAGGTAGCGACTTCAACGAGGGGGTATATAATCTGGCAGGGGTGCAGAATTCGGCACAACACCGGCACGATGAGACAACACCAATAAAACCCATTACAAACGAGGCATTTGTTGCATCCAGTGGGGACATAATTCCTGATTACAATGATTTATACGGTTGAACTGTTCTGGAACAGTGTTGTAAATACAATTTAACCACTGATTTAGTTGTGTCCTCTTTTGGAAGGCCAAACAAAGTCATTTCGCTTTCACAACGAAACACAGCGGGCTAGAGTGAGCGGCGGCGGGTGGGCTTCAGAACGGCACAGCCGGCGGATTCGACGAAGGAGCGGCCAGAGGGCTTGCGGCAACCACACGTGACGACCCCGAGCTGGATCCGGCGATCCACAGCGCGAAGTTGATGTATTTCCTCAGCGACCAGCACGGATCAGCACCAGGCATGACGAAGCGGATATCATCCTCTTTTGGAAGGTCAAACAAAGTAGTTTCGCTTTCACAACAAATCACACAGCGCCTTCACGACATGGCGCCGGCGGCAACAACAATACTACAGCGAGAATAAAAGTTACGCCTTCTTTCTTTGCGTGAACATTTGGGCAGCGTTATGCAAATCTTCCCACATCGTGACGTAGACATGTGGGGGCGTGTTTAAACGAGGCGTTTTAGGAGGGCATGGACAAGTCTTAACTTTTATAAAGAATATCTCTTTGGATTTGAGACTTTAGTCTTTGCAACTTTAGGGATCTTATCTATTCACGAACAGCTTGTAACACTCCAAAGACAAAGGAAAATTTTAAATTGCATCATGACCCCTTTAAAGGTAATCTGGGAATCTGGGGTAAAATTCACAACAAAAACACATCTATGAACCACGGATGTCATCATTACCTTTTTTTTAAACAGGAAAAGACTCACTGAGATTAAAATCTCTTTTCCAGGAGTGTCTGACCCCTTTAAAGGTAATCTGGGAATCTGGGGTAAAATTCACAACAAAAACACATCTATGAACCACGGATGTCATCATTACCTTTTTTTTAAACAGGAAAGGACTCACTGAGATTAAAATCTCTTTTCCAGGAGTGTCCTGGCCAAGATAGGCAGCTATAGTTTGCATGTACAAATAATCAACATAGTTACAACATACATTACAAAAACCAAACATATAACCGGTTAAAAACAATTACACACCATTAAGTTGCTCTCTAGATTACATAATAAAGACTTAAATTAATTATAAGACACCGTTTTGTAACTTCATCTACTTTTGGAGCAGATTCCAATCTGAAGTGGCGGCATATTTAAAAGAGGTTTTACCAAGCTCAGTTCTGACAAGGGGCACACAAAGATTATAATTTGATTAAGAACGTAATGAATCATTTTCAAACAAAGTCCTTTGTATGAGACAACAGAGATAGGTTGGCAAAATGACCCAAAATTGCCTTATATATCAACAGATGCCAATGCATTTTTCTCCAAAAACTCAAAGAAGGCCATGCAACTCTTTTATATAATTCACAATGATGAGTTGAAAATTTACAATCAGTTATAAATTTCAGAGCACCTTGCTACAAAGCATCCAAGGAGGAGAGAAGAAGGTAAGAGTAAGAGGGGCATGCTGATAAACTCCATCCCTGTAATCGAGAACCGGTAAAAACGTAGCAGACACTAATATAAGAAAGAAATTCCTAGAAAGCTTCTTGTGAAGAATAAAAATTAATAAAAGAACAGAATTATTCATACTCAAAAGTGTGAAGTGAGGCAAGGCTGCAGTTTGAACATCTGTCACTTAACATCTAGCAAACATCCGACTTGTACTGATGAGCAACTGTACTGATGAGTACTGATGAGCAAAACCAAATCAGAATAAATGAAATCATAAAAGCTACTAAATGCATATTTTGTTCATTAGATAAACTTGAGTAAAAATCAAAATAAACTGGAATGTTATCAGGCCCTAAATACAAAGTAAAGTGGCAGAATAGCCCATCTCTTCACTGTCAAAGAGAGAGAGAGAGAGAGAGAGAGATCATAGTCTTAAAAAAGACACAAACTTTCCTAAGAAAGTATTGTCACTGTGACCCTATGAGGCTGAGAGAAATTTCACTTGTCTCTTCACTGTAAAAAGAGATCTAGCCTATAAGAAAGAAATTCCTAGAAAGCTTTTTTCACATTTTTGTCATACAAAAATGGTGGAAGCAGCATCTATCTATCTATCCATTTTCTCTTATTTTATTTGACTTTTTATGAATTGTTTATCCAATGATTCGTATAGAACGAACACATTTGCGTCACTGGAGTTACTTTCACAACCATTTTCTCAAGGTCCTCGCTGACTTGAGATCAGCACCACGAACCTTGTTTTAGCTTGCCATTTCACTTGTCTCTTCACTGTAAAAAGAGATATAGCCTATAAGAAAGAAATTCCTAGAAAGCTTTTTTCACATTTTTGTCATACAAAAATGGTGGAAGCAGCATCTATCTATCTATCCATCGTAATTCAATTTTCTCTTATTTTATTTGACTTTTATTAATTGTTTATCCAATGATTCGTATAGAACGAACACATTTGCGTCACTGGAGTTACTTTCACAACCATTTTCTCAAGGTCCTCGCTGACTTGAGATCAGCACCACGAACCTTGTTTTAGCTTGCGTTATATGGCATGGGCCATGACCAACTGATCCTAGATCAGCGCTGATGAAACCCAGGCTGCTCCTAACGCACCGCGCATGCGCTGACATTGTTTCGCTTTTGACTGGAGTAGCAGCTGACTGGCGTGGCCGCAGTCAACAACAGTTATCACACAAGTGCGCCAGTCAGCGCTACTGTATCCAATCAGCATTTTAGGGCAGCAAGATTTAGTTGTTTTGATTTTCTGGTGCTCTCTGGTCCTCGTTTTACCGTGCCTGGTGTTATGGAAAGCTGACATTTGGGGACTTGTAAGACTGCAGGCTAACAGTTCAATACATCGAGTTGTTTACGCGTAGCTAGTTAGCCAGTTAGCAAATCTGACATCCGACTCGTTTAAGGATGAAATGAATAGCTTTGTTGTTTGCTATGGATTAATACGCTCGTTTGACAGGTCCCACAGTTTTCCACTTCGGATGTGGTCGATTCATGCAAGTTAGAAACGCAAACTGACGCAAGGTAAGTCACTACCGGCTGACACTTTGGATTAGCTCGCCTGCTAGCTGTATGTCAGAAATGAAAGGTTTCGCTTATGAACCATCATCTACGCTATCTACAGTATAGAAGTCTCTCTTTAAGGCCCACGTCCTAATCAAGCACGAGTAGCTGTCATAGTGTTGAAAGCAGCCATTATAAATGTCTGATGAGGTGTTTTACTGCTGTGTGCAGATGGAGAAACCCCCTTTCAGACAGAATCAGCTCTGTGGGTCATGGCTTATGAAGGAGAGGCTGGGAACAGGAGGATTTGGACATGTCTACCTTTATCAGAATGAGGTATTGCTCTGCCTTTGGTGTTACTCTTAACTACTGTTGATGTGAAAATGTTTTGTTTCCTTTGCTTAGATTTAAAGACAAAGAAAATTGTAGTTTCTTAATACTGTAATATCTTGCAGGAAACCTCAGAAAAAATTGCTGTGAAGCTCTGTCGCCTTGAACTTAACGCAAAAAACAAAGTCAGGTGGAGTCGAGAGATCCAGATTATGAAAAAGTGTGTAAATCTATGGCAATCAAATGTTTGACTTAAAAAAAAAATTATTGTTCACAATATGTTGTTATAGGGCTGGACAATAATTCAATATGTATCGCGATATAATTTTTTTCAATAACGGTGATATGATTTTTAAACACATTTCCGATATTTCGATATACATTACCAGTGTTTCCCATACATTGATTTATTTGTGGCGTTTGACTTCGGTAGAAATATTTTAAAATGTTACCGTTTTTGCTGTACTTTGGATCAAATAAATGCAGGCTTGGTGAGCAGAAGAGAATTCTTTAAAAAAACATAAAAAATCTTACTGTTCAACAACTTTTGACTGGTATGTTAGCCTATAGTTTGAAGTAAAAAAATATTAATATTAATAAGGAGAGTCTGAGATTTATTTGACAGTGATTTCACATTTCTTGTTTGTATGAAGGCTAAATACTAATAAAAGGTGAACATTTATTCATCTGCGCCATTTTTTTCCTAAAATATTATATAGTTTTATAGGAGTAGGTTTCATAGAGTTGGCAAATAAATTTTTCATAAGTTTGTAGGTACAGACATCTGTTGTGGCCGTTCTTGGCCGTTTTTATGAGGCTTTTTTAATAGTGTTCATATAGATATTATATTGTATCGACCGAAATTAAGTAATATATCATGATATAAATTTGGGCCTTATCGTCCAGCCCTATGTTGTTATTAAAACATGTTTCATGTAAATATTTTATTTATTTTATGTATACATACATAATTAAAAATATTTTTTTTTCCAACTTGTCAGGATGAAGCACCTTAATGTGGTGACCGCAAAGGATGTACCCGAGGAGATGATGCACATTGCCTTGAATGATTTACCGCTTTTTTAATAGTGTTCATATCGATATCGGAATTATATCGTATCGACCGAAATTAAGTAATATATCGTGATATAAATTTGGGCCTTATCGTCCAGCCCTATGTTGTTATTAAAACATGTTTCATGTAAATATTTTATTTATTTTATGTATACATACATAATTAAAAATATTTTTTTTTCCAACTTGTCAGGATGAAGCACCTTAATGTGGTGACCGCAAAGGATGTACCCGAGGAGATGATGCACATTGCCTTGAATGATTTACCGCTTTTAGCTATGGAATACTGTTCCAAGGGAGACCTTCGAAAGGTGTGTGTGTGTGTGTGTGTGTGAGTGAGTGTGACAGAAGCCTTTTCTTTGCATCATGTCTCATGTGCCCTCTGTTGACATTTTTACTAACTCATTTCTGTTCTTTGTATTGCATCTTGTAGTTACTCAGCAAACCAGAAAATTGTTGTGGGTTAAAAGAGAGTGAGGTGTTGGCTCTACTCAATGATGTTGGTAATGTGTGTTTTTAAAACTGTTATTAGTACTTCTATTGTCGATCGCTAAGGGTGGTAAATAAAACAGCATGTTTTATATTCAACAGGTTCTGGAATCCAGTACCTCCATGAGAATAAGATCATTCACCGAGATCTCAAGCCAGAGAATATTGTGCTACAAGATATCAATGGAAAGGTATTTTCTATTCAGTAGTTTGATTCTTGTTATGTAGACATACTTTTTCCAACCAAAAGTTTTTTGATGTTTATGCAGCTCGTCCACAAGATAATCGACCTTGGCTATGCCAAAGACCTAGACCAGGGGAGCCTATGTACTTCATTTGTGGGGACTTTACAATATCTGGTATGTCTTTGCATTCATCAGCGATATGAAAAGGCAATTATCACAATAAGTCAGCATACACTATCATTTGAAAGTTTGGGGTCAGTACGAAGTTTTTGTTGTTGTTGTTGAAATTAATGAATATTTTTCTTTAGTAATGATGCATTAAATGAATGGTTCACACACGCATTAAATTGCTGTAATCATTTACTCACCCTCCACTTGTTTATTTTGATGAATATTGGTAACATTAGTTGACAGTAGTCATAGACCTCCATAGTGTTTTTTTCCATTCTATGGAAGTTAGTGGCTACTGTCAACTTGAGGTTGAGTAAATGATGACAGAATTTTTGTATTTTTGGGTGAACCATCCCTTTAAATTCAACAAAAGTGACAGTAAAAACATTTATAATGTTACAACAAAAAAAGTATATTTTATATACCTGCTGTTCTGTTTAACTTTCTATTCATCGAAGAATCCAGAAAAAATGTATTATGGTTTCTACAAAAATGCTAAGCAGAACAATTGTTTTCAACATTGATAATAATAAGAAATGTTTCTTAAGCACCATATCAGCATATTAGAATGATTTCTGAAGGGTCATGTGACATCTTGTTTGTTTCAGGCTCCAGAGCTGTTTGAAGGCAAGTCGTACACAGTCACTGTGGACTATTGGAGCTTTGGCACCATGATCTTTGAGTGCTGCTGTGGATTTCGGCCATTTCTTCACAATCTCCAGCCTGTGCAGTGGTACGTGTCCTGATAACCTACATATTAATTAGGTCACAATGCTTGTATCTTACCTTTACAAGGAATACATTCAAACAGTCAAATGACAACATATTTGCTTTTTTTTTAATTATTAGGACAAGCAAAGTGCGAAACAAAGGTCCTAAGGACATAATGGCTGTAGAAGACATGAATGGCGAGGTCCGCTTTTCCACCCACCTTCCATACCCAAACAATCTGAGCAGGTAACCTTTATACAGACCAAAAGACCTTGCATTTCTTGCACCATAATTTTTGTTACTATTTTTTTTTTCTGGGTCTCTGAGTTGACTAGTTGTTTTTGGTACTGCAGGACACTACTGGAGCCTTTGGAGGGGTTGCTACAGCTGATGCTCAAGTGGGATCCAGTACAGAGGGGAGGAGGATTGAATCCAGACGCAAAGCAGCCCCAATGCTTTGCTCTTTTAGATCAAATACTGAACATGAAGGTTTGACATTGGCATTATTGCATCATTTCATTAGAATGTTACATCATTGGGCAATCAGTTTTCTTCTGTAATAATGCAAAATAGGCAAAGATGGGCAGAAAAATGAGCTGAAGCATGATTTATTTTGTAGGTTGTGCACATCTTAAACATGACTACGACCCAGGTTCACTCATTTCTGCTTAGCCCAGATGAAGGGCTTCACTCTCTGCAACAGAGGATTGAGACCGAGACCAAAATCGAACTTTTGAATCAAGAGCTTCTGCAGGAAACAGGAGTCATGTTAGATCCCAGGAAACCTGCTGCACAGTGTGTGTTAGATGGAGTAGTAAGTATTTTTTGGCTTCTTGAATGTGTTCTCATTCTCTAAAAGTACATTTTGGTAAATCAGCAGCAATTTATTACCCTTTTTATTTTAATTTTCAGAGAGGATGGGACAGCTACATTGTATATCTGTTTGACAAGAGTTTGACCAAGTACTCAGGACCTCTAACAGCTAGAACACTTCCTGAGAGTGTGAACTTTATCGGTAAGAATTGAATGATTAATGTGCCATTTCTATGGATAGTTTGTTCATTTAAATATGCTTGAGGGAGGTTGTACTTTCTACTTTGGATTAATGTTTATTCAGTTTTTTTTTCCAAGTTGTTTCCCAAAGAACTTTAAAGTCTCTACCCATTTCATTTTTCTGTTTAAGTGCGGGAAACCAAAACTCAGCTCCCTCTGAGTACCCTCAAAAAGGTTTGGGGTGAGGCAGTGAGCTACATTTGTGGCCTCAGAGAAGACTACAGCCGCCTCTTCCAGGGCCAACGTGCAGCCATGTACGTGCTTTATATTACCATGCTAATTAATGTATATAGCTTGTGTTTTGGGACTTTCCCTGCTCAAAATTAAATGTTTATTTCGGTTTGTGTGTCTTTAGGTTGAGCCTTCTCCGCTACAACACCAACCTTACACGATATAAGAACATGATGTTCTCCTTTTCGCAGCAGCTCAAAGCAAAGCTTTACTTTTTTAAGAGCAGCATACAGTACGACTTGGAGAAGTACAGTGATCAGATGCAGTATGGCATATGTACGTTTTATTGTGCTTAAATTCCTTGAATAGTCAAATATTGCATTAGTGATGATAATCTAAAACAACCTTTTTCTTTCTGAAGCCTCTGAAAAGATGCTGAAGGCTTGGCAGGAAAATGAAGAGAAGGCTGCTGCGTTTGTACAGGTGAAGTGGGTAAATGATATGCATTTGTTTTGAAACCTAACTGCTCATCCAAATGCGATGAGACACGGGGCAACTTTTTGAGCAATGTTGCTGAGCAGTCTTGCCATCAATGGGCAACCAGGTGAGACACAGGGCCCACGACCAATCCAGATAGAAATTTGTTGCCCATTCTTAATGGGAAAGTGCTCAAGCAACATCGCTTGGCGACATTGCCCAACTACATTGTCCCGTGTATCATCACCTTTAGTATTCTTCATGTCACATCATAGAAATGTAGTACTATATCGTTCAAATGTTTGGGGTCAGAAAGATTTTTTTCTGTGTTTTTCTTTATTTAAAGAACTCTCTTATGCTCATCAAAGCTGTATTTATTTAATTGAAATACAGTAACAGCAGTAATATTTTGAAATATTACAATTTAAAATAAAATAAATCTATTTTTGATCTACTTTAAAATGTAATTTATTCCTGTGATGGAAAATCTAAATTTTCAGCAGTCATTAATCCAGTCTTCATGATCACATGATTGTTCAGAAATCATTCTAATATGCTGCTCTTGGTGCGCAAAACATTTCATATTATGAATATTGTGAAAAGGTGTTTAATAATATAATATTTTATGGAAACTTTTTTTTCCAGGATTCTTTAATACATTTATTTGAAATAAAATTATTTTGTAACATTGTAAATGTCTTTATTGACACTAGCATCTTTGCTGATTAAAAGTTTTAATTTCTTTCAAAAACATTTTTTGAGCAGTAGTGCATGTCAATTTATTGCCATGTGGGATGGCATTGTTTTAGCAACAACTTACAGACTCTGTTTGCTTTTAAAGGTGGCAGAGATCGGCCATCTGGATGAGGAAATAATGGCTTTGCACTCAGAAATTGTTGAGCTTCAGAGAAGTCCTTATGCTCGTCGACAAGGAGACGTCATGGAGCAACTGTAAGTTAATTCTTTCAGTGATGCTGTGTAAACTTTCTGAGCATAGATGCCTCTACCATCTTGAACCTTTTGTATTGAAATCATGTCTCATCACAGGCAAGAAAGAGCAATTGAACTCTACAGACAATTGAAGGCAAAATGCAAAAGTAAGTGCAATCCCGTCTTGCATGCTCATAAGCAGAGTTGGGTATAACGCGTTACTGTAATCTAATGATTTTTTCTGGTAACGCAGTAATGTAATGCATTACATTTTAAATTTGTGTAATTTGATTAAAGTTACTAAAGTCAATATAATTACGTTACAATTACAATTACGTTATGTTACAAATGTAGTGTTATAAAGAAGAAGTCATATAGTCAATAAAGAAGAAAAAAAATGTATATGCCTTTTAAAATCACGTTTTGCGCGGGTTCGACGGAGGCACCAGCTCGATCACTTGCATTTTTTCCTGATAACAGCGAAAAGAACTTCAAATGCTCCACCATTTTTGATCATACATATAAGTGTAATACATCATTTGAATCTGTGAAGTGTCTACTTTTATTTGTGTACACTCACAATATCAACAAAAGATTGTGCTTTTGTAAAATAAAGAAAATAAACCGGTTGCGCTTTCAGCCGTCTCAGACTCCGCGAACTTCTTTCTGAAACGCATCACTAAAATGAACCAAAACTCAGCGAATACTTCACACACAGACATGAGAAACATTGAGCTTGAAGTGTCTAGTTTTAAAGGGGTGGTTCACTGTTTTTTTTTTTCCTAGGCTTGATTGTGTTTATGGGGTGCGGTATAACATGTGTAAATGCTTATTTTTTTTTAAAACGTATTATTTTTCACATAATTTACCTTTATTCCACACTGCTCTGTCCCTTCTCTGAGAAAGGGGCTGATCATTTCCTTCTTTTATGAAGCCCCTCCCTCAGAAATAGGCGATGG